ATAAAACACATCTTAATAATTATTACTTTCCTTTTTAAATTGATTATCTTATAGGAAGTAGGGAGATAGATTTTCCCCAATGGGAAAGAGATCAGGAAAAGGGGGAGTGGGGAGGGAGGCAAGGGAAAGGAGATGAAAAAAAAGAACTGAAATGTGTTATGTACATGTTCCAACTCCACACAAGGAATGTAAACATTATGCACTCCCAAATGTACTAATACAAAAAAGAGAAAAAAAAGTACATGCTGCAGCTGGGAAACAGTGCGGGCTGTCACGTAAAGTTAAAATAGCCCTGGCTCCTCATGGCTGCCTTTCTTTTATGACGCTGTCCAAATCTCGAGGAATCACCCGAGAACTTCTATATCCGGGTCCTGAGTGGCGGTGCTGTGATTCCACTCCATGCCTTGGGCTGAGGTCAGGTCTAGGCATCCCCTTGAAAACCTGCTGGAGTTCTTGAGAGGAGTCCGTGTGCTCGGGGTGCAGTGGGTGTTGGGAACTGTTCTTCGAATGTGTCCAGGATCTCATAATTAACAAGTCACACCCACTTCCCCAGCCAGTTTGCCACACCCTAATCTCCTGTCTCAAACTCACTATGTAGCCCAGGCTGGCTTTGAACTCAGTGATCTGCCTGCCTCAGCCTCTGCTGGGAGTACAGGTGTGCACCACTATACTCTGGTATAAAATTCTTTTTTTGGTTGTTTTGTTTTTGAGACAGTCTCAAGATAGGTCTTCGCTATGTAGTTCAGGCTGGCTTTGAACTCATGACAGTCCTCCTGTCTCAGCCTCCTGGGTGCTAGGATTACATGCATGTGCTACCAAGCCTAGCTTACAGTTCTTTTAAACTTTTCTGATTGCTTGAAAAATTTCATCGTAAAATGCCAGCAAAATTAATTGGCAGGAATGTATCTTTCTCAGGGATACCTAAAAGCTCATATTGGAGTTGATGGTACCTTAGATGTGATGAAATGATTAAGCAACAGCCTCAGCTGGGAACTTGCCTCCTCTCCTTCCTCTCAGAGCCACCACACTTTGCTTCCCAGAAACTCTGTACCCTGTTGCCTCTGATAAGCTTGGAGCCCTGCTGCTCCTGCCGGAAAGGGCAGCATTATGTTCTCCAGCACCAAGGGCAGGATCCTCCCACTGCACCCCGTGACTCCTCTTCCCTCGCTGCTCACTCACTCAGAGTTGTTGGCCTCCTGAATGCCAGAGGGTGGAGGATTAGACTTCAGGACCAGCAGGATCTGTCACATCACGCTTCCCCATGCCTCCGAGCCTCTGCCCTTGCTCTCATGTTGTCCCCCAGCTCACCAGGCTTCCCTGCCTCTCTCCCATTGCTAACTCCCAGGCAAAGTTGCTTTCCCTCCCGGGCCCACCCCCTGACAAAAAAATCCCCCACCCAACCTGACTCCAGCCAGCCGCCTTGGGATCTCCTCAGCCCGCCTCGGCCTGAGTCTCTAAGGCCTGTACCAAACACCGGCAGGCAGAGTTTCCAAGAGGTCAAGGCCACAGACCAGGCCCTCGCCCTGCAGTGCCTGCCTGAGGAAGCTCGAGGCCGGGAGGAAAGAACAGTTTCTCCCTCGCTCTGTGGGAGGGCAGGAGCCACACACTGATAATCCTGGTTTCAAGGACCCAAGCCCCTGTGTGCTTTGGGTAGCTCTTCACTTCTGTGACCCTGCCGAGCCCCACCTGACCTTTCAGGCTCCCCCTTCTTTGAAAGCGCCCAGGCACCTCCGTACAGATCAGAGCTTGAGGTTGGTCTACCCTGAGCTTCTCTCTGTTGCAAACCTTACTGCTGATTAAAACCTGTCCCTGCCTCCTTCCAGCGTCCAGCTTTGCTGATCTTTGTCATCACCCCCAGGACCTTGCCTGACCCCTGGGTATCGCTTCCGGCCATTCACCTGTGAGCCCCAGTGGAAAGGGCAGTGCTCAGGCCCCAGCCACACCCAGGAGGAGAGGCCAGGACACCAGAAGAGGAACTATGAGAACGAAGAGCCCAGGGGTTTGGAGGGAGGTCAGCCTGGCTTTGAAACGTGGCTCCCCTTCTTGCTGGTCACTGGCCACCTCTCTCTGGGCCTTAGTTTGCCCTCAGGTCTAATGAGAATCATTGTCTCATTGTCCAGCTTCCGGGGAAGCTGTGTTTGCAAAGAGCTAGGCAGGTGCCTGTCGTTACTCTGGTCCACTGACTAAGTGAATGAAGAAATGGTTTGCAGCTGTCCCAGGTCCCTTTCTTTCATTCTAGACTCCAAGCTCCTGGTGGCCAGGAACTGTGCTTCTTCCTCTGTCCCTCCCAGCTCCCAGACACTGCCAGGCACATCATAGGGGCCCATTTCGTGCCTACTGAGGGGATCAAGGCACAAGGAGGAGGAGAAGCAGGTTACAGTGTGCAGTGGGGTCCCAGGGACACACGGCAGAGCTAGACCTCATGGTAAGGGACTGGGGCTGTGTGTGAGGGGGTTCTGGGGAGCCCCCAGGACCAGGGTGGGGGCGGCTTTATCTTGCTGCCTGCTTTCCCACAGTCAGGGGAAGTCAAGGGCCCCATGGTGGTGTCCAGTGGGGCTGTAAGGCTCCCTGTGCCTCTTAACCTCGGGAAGCCCCAGATTTCTGGCCTGTAAAACCAGGAGAGCGCACACACACACACACACACACAACATGTGGTCTTCCAGAGGGGGCTGGAAGGGAAGCAATAAGCTTTTTTCCCCTTTTCTGTGGCGCAGGATCACACCCAGGGCCTTACGCACTCTAGGCAAGCAAGCGCTCTTCCCACCCCAAAGACAGGCTCTGATGAACAGGGCTCTGCTGTGGCCTCTGTGGCCCCTCTGAGAGTCCAGCAAGGTGGTGCCGTCACCTCTATATCACCAATGGAGAAACTAAGGCTCGGGCATCCAGCGTGGGGCCTGGGACACAGAGCCGGTGTGAGCCACCTGTAGTTCTTTCAGCCACCACCCAGCCTGGCCCAGCGGGGGGTTGCTGGTTCCTCCTGGGGTGCAGAAGCAGGGAAGGGGCTTCTTCTGGGCAGGTCGGGCTGGGGCTGCCGATCTACTGGCCACGCGCTGTGGCTCTCCCAGGAGTGGGAGAGGCTGCAGGGACAAGGCCGGGCCCGAGCCGAGGCCACTGAGCCAAACTGGGACTGAGTCATCGGGGTGGCCCAGGAGCGAGGGCAGGTGGGCACAGGGGACTCTCGGTGAGTGTGGGGGCATCAGGGTGGGCCTCTGGCCACTCTGCCCCTCCAGCCACCTCCTTCTGCCTCCCCTCTGATGCAGTCCAACCCCAGCTCCAAGAGCAGGAGTCAGGCCCTCTGTTGCCATAACAACCGATCACAGCAGGAAAAATAGTAACTTATTTTTTATTCAATTTCTTTATCTCCTGGAGAAAAGGCACATCCACGTCTAGGCTGCTGTTCTCTTCCAGGGGTCTCCTCCGGGCCCGTGCAGAGCCTGCTGCTGAGATCTGCTTGAAGGCAGACTGGCTAGGCGGAGGCCAGGTACCTCCTGGATGTCTGGTCCCAGCCTCCCGGGAGCTGCGGCCACCCGTGGCCACCCTGAGCCAGCCTGGCCTCCCCAGGAGCAGAGGGGCCACTGAGGGTCCTTTCACCTTTGCAAAGACAGCTGGAGCCTTTCTGGGAATTGAGGCTGGGGGCTGGGACCTGGGACAGGTGGGCCCGAGTGTGGCCTGGGCTGGGGGTCAGGCAGAGCCAGGAGAGCCAGGAGACCTGTGGCCATCTGGTTCCCTTCTCCTGCAACTCTGAGACCTCACTGGGGTTTCTGAGTCTTTGAACTGGGCTCCAGGGTAGGTCCTGCCCCCTGCCATGTGCCCTTGCGAACTGGGAGTCTCCGGCCCCTCAGCCTGGTCTCCCTGCTCCATGCAAGGGGTAGGAGGCTCGGCCCTGAGCTGTGCCTGGCTTCTCCATCCCCAGCAGGACACACACGTGTGCCACCCCTGAGGCAGGCAAGCATCTCCCAGCTACCCCCTCCCGCCGTGGGCAGACCCCTCGTCTTTTCCAGCTCAATTCCTTTCAAGTTCTTCTCTTGCCCACTGGGCCTGTGCCACCATCTCCTGGAGCAAGGGCCCTTAGAGCTTTCTGCATGGACACACAGAGCCCATTGGGCACCCAGCAGCCACACAGGGCTCCTGTGGCAGTGCAACTGCATTTAAAGTGTTAATTTTACTCAATGTCAACGCCAATAGTGCCCAGGGCTGGTGGCTTTCATAGTGGAAGGCGAAACTCCACTGGGTGGCCAAGATGAGCAAGCTGAAACCCATGGCTCTGAGGGTCTTCCTGTCCCCCTCCCAGGGGCACACCTTGCCTCATGGATTTCCTGACCTTGCGGTCCTCTGTCCTTGGTTTCATGCCATCCTTGACTTCAAGCTTTCCTGGCTGAGAGCTGACCAATGATCTTTCCTCCCCCTGGAGATGGCTCTTCCTCTGGGCCCCCTGTTTCCTCTTCACCAAGTGGCACCAGAGTCACCTACTGGGCCCAGCCAAAACCCAGCAGTCACTCTGACTCCTGTGCCACCTCTCCCCCACTTCTGGCCCATTGCTGGGCCTCTCAGGTCTCACCTCCTGAGCGTCCTGGGTTCCCACGTCTCACCCCGCTGCGATGGGAGTGTGTGCCAGCACTGGGCCTCACGGGGTGAATCAGGCGGGGTCCTCTGATCTTTTCACTTCTTCCTCTAGCTCCCCCGGACAGAGTGAGGTGGGCTGACTGCCCCAAGCGCAGTGGGACCTCAAATGCAACAATGGTAGAAGTAGAAATAGGGAAGGGGGAGAGATCTTCCCTTCAATTTGGGCACTAGCCTTGGGTCCCACAGTCAGTGCTGAGGTTTCTTCCCCATCATAGGCCACCTGGCTTCCAGCAGCCTCCAAGGGTGTCAGCTCAACCAGCAAGTGACAGTTCCCCATAGCCCACAGCCCCTGTACGGGAGAAGGCTGGCTTTGGCGGAGGATCGATGGATGGGCCAGGGGAGATGTCCCTGTGGGCGCGGGTCCCCAGAACACAGGCCTGGGTGGGGAGGCTTCCCTGAGAGCGTGACCACCCCCGCGCAGGTCCTTTGGGGACAGCGTGGCCCCTAGTAGACCAGGGGACGCGCGGGCAGTGTCCCCTATGGCTTCCAGCCCAGCCCAGGGCGTCTTCTGCTGTCCCGGAGGAAGGGGACGCGCCTGAGGTTGGTGACGCGAGCCCCGCCCCCGCCACCATCTGCTTGGGATTTGGCGTCGGCGGCGTCGCCAGCTCCGGCTCGGCTCGGGCTCGGGGTCCCGGCGGGCGCCCCCATCCCCGGCTCTGCTGGGCCTTACTCCGCAGCCCCAGCCCGCGCCGCCCACTTGCTGCGCCCCCTCCCGCGATCCCCAAGTTCCCCGCGTCCCAGCTGAGCGAGCTCAGCGCGGGCGCCCATGGAACCGCGGCGATGTTCGCGCCCAGGCTGCTCGATTTCCAGAAGACGAAATACGCGAGGTGAGAGGGGTGCGCGGGGCGCGGGGCGCGGGGCGCGGGGCGCGGAGCGCGGGCGGGGCGCCTGTCTCGGCTGCATGGAGGCCCGGAGGGGATAGACGGACCCCTCGGCCCGGCCGGGAAAAGCCAGAGCGAGACAGCAGCTCCTCCCAGATGGACTGGTGTTTGCCCCCCGCTTTTGCCCTGGACTCTTGAGCTGCGCGCCCACTCCAGACACCTCGCTTCTTTCCGGGGTACCCTTGAGCAAGTGGCTTTGCTTCCCTGAACCTTACTTTCCTTGCGCGCAAAGCGGAGATCACGAGTCTCGGTTCCTAGGGGTCCCGTGAGGATTATCAGTGGATTTATCCGTGGAGAGAGGACTTTGCTCCGCCCTGGGGTTTGGCGACCTCTCGGGTCCATCTCCAGGGGGCTCTGTTGTTCATGATAGGGGGAGTTTGCCCCCGCTCTCCGCCCATCCACACAGCAAGGTGGAGGCGTGGGTCAGTGCTCTACCTAGGCGGGAAACTGAGGCTCAGAACCCGGGAGGAGCTGCGGTACATCTTGGTCTCACAGAGAAAGCTCCGGGGCCACGCTGAGCCTCAGAATCTTTGGTAAAATAGCGGTGGAGAAGCTCCTGCCCACTGCTGAGCAGAGTCAAGGTCCTGGGGTCTGGACTCGGGTTAACCGTGTGGACCGCAATGATTAAATTACTCTAAGTGTTGTTTTGAGACAGGGTCTCACCATATATTTCAGATTGGCCATGAATTCACAATGCAACCCAGGGTGGCCTCGAATTCACAGCAGTCCTCCTGCCTCAGTCTCCAGAATGCTGGGATTATGGCGTGGGCCTGCTAATATTTTGTTGAAGGTGCCCTTCACTGAAAGCTGTCATAGAAATCCTGTTCTAAAGTCCCTGCTGAGCCGGCATGCTGGTGCAGGCCTGTAATCCCAGCACTGAGGAGGCTGAGGCAAGAGGATGGCCATGAGCTCGAGACCAGCCTAAACTACAGAGTGAGACCTTGTCTCAAAACAAAACCCCTGGTGGACTCCAGCTGGCCTGGGTCTCAGCTCTCATGTGCAGGGCACGTACGTGCTGACCTGGGGGCTGCTGGCACCTTAGTCCACATTCACCTCCGGGCGGATGTTGAGAGTCCCTGGCACCCAGATCTGGTCAGAATGACTCCGGGCCGGATGGTGGTGTGCAGGGTGAGGCTGGGCCCTGTGCCCAGTTTCAACCGTGTTTCCCCAGGGGAGCTGGGAGTGCACCCTTCAAGAAGCTGTCAGCTGGCCCAGGGAGCTGGGCCCCTGGGACAGGCTTGATTGCTTCTGGCTGGCTGTACAAATCCACTTTCTCTGGGGTGGGCATGTGGGCTTTCAAAGGGTTGTTCTCAAGGGTCCTGAGTGCTACCTTGACTCAAAAGTTGTGGCTTTTTCTCTGGAAGGGAAGAAGCCCAGGGCCAAGGTTTCCTACAGGTCTAGATATGCAGAGGAGGAGCTCTGCAATGAGTCATTGCCTGCTGTGTGATCTTGGGTAGGTGTCTCAACCTCTCTGGACCTCAGCTGGCTGACCTGTAAAGACAGGAGATTTGATCCAAATGAATTTGACATTGGAGTTCCAGAGCTGCCTCTATAACTGGAAAAGGGCCGTCCAGCTAGGGTTGAGACTGGATCAAGGGCTCCTTCTTGTATTCTTGGGTCTGAGGCAGTTTCTCTGGACAGAAGGTTGGTCCAGTGAGGAAATGGATCGAATCGATTGGAACTATTTCTGTTCCCTTGCTAATAATCATGTGGCCCTTACTACAGTGCACTCTGCAAATTAGGCCCTTCATAAAGGCTTCTCGATGGGGTGGATTTAATGGTATAACCCAGTCTATTCACTAGAAATACACAAGCTACAGATGTCATTGAATGTGCAGAGGTGGGGCTTTGAGAAGTGATCCTGTTGGGGGTGGTAGCACACCCCTGAGATCTCAGCACTTGGGAGGCTGAGGCAGGAGGATCTCAGGAGTTCAAGGCCATTGGCAGACCATGGCAGTTTAGGGTGTGGGTCACTGTATCTTGTCTCTGCCCTGTCTGTCTGACTCCCTGTCTGTCCCTGCTTCTTAGTCACAATCAAGGTGAACAGCTCTGCCCTGCTGTGATGTCCTCACTGCTCACCTAAAAGCAACAGAGCCAGGTGATCCTGGGCTGAAACCTGGGAAACTGTGAGCCCAGATAAGTCCTCCCCCTTTAAGCTGTTTATCTCTGGTCTGTTGTTACAGTGACGAAAGTTGACACCAGTTAACTGTGTGACACACATAGGTTCCCCTCCCTCTTGGAGCCGTTCTCTCAGTGAAGAGTTCTAAAGCAGAGCCCCTTGGATGTCACTGACATTCTGGCCACCCAGATGGTTTTTCTGCACTGAGAAATGGGTATTATAAAGCCACTGGAGTCAGATAGTGTGGTCTTGGCGCAGGGCTAGGCAAATGGACCAAAGGAGCAGAACGGAGAGGCCTGAAACAGATCTGCGCACATAGAGGCTTGGGGTTTTTTGTTTTTGGTACCGGGGATCAAACTTGGGACCTTGCGCTTGTAAGGCAGGCGGTGGAACCACTGAGCTAATCCCTTGCCCCAGCTTGAGGTTTTTGACAAGAGTGGCATTGCTAATCAACCTCGGCAGGAATGGGAATTAAACCTGTGGTGCTGACCCAGCTGGTTATTCAGATGACAGCAGTGCAGCCCTACCTCACACTGTACAGAGAAAGCATTTCTACATGGATTAAAGACTTAAAGCTGAAAAAAAAAAGACTTGAAACCTTTCAGAACATACAAAAGAATAACTTCTGGAACCAGGTGTGCTGGTGCAGTCCTTTAATCCCAGCACTCTGGGAGGCTGAGGCAGGAGGATCTCAAACTGGAGACCAATTTGGGAAACATGCCTGAGGGGACCTTATCTCAAAATAAAACATAAAAAATGGCTGAGGATGGAGTTGAGTATGAAGGCCCTGGGTTCAATCTCCAGTATAGCAAAAACAAACAAAACAACAACATCAAAATCAAAGCCACAAATTAACCAGGTATGGTGCTGCACACCGTAATCCCAGCATTTGGGAGGCTGAGGCAGGAGGTCATGAGTTCAGGATCAACCTTGGCTACATGTTGAGTTCAAGGATAGCTGGACTACATAGTGAGACCCTATCTCAAAAAACAGACAAACAAAATATCCAAAATATATAGAAAATTATAATAAGAAAAAGATAACTCTAGAAAAAGTAAAAGGCACAGACAGTCATTTTTTGGTAGAGAGAACACAAGAAATAAGCAGTAAGCATGAGAAAAGATGCTTCCTGTTGGTGAGCAGAGGCCATTCTGACACCCAGTGTATAAGTCCAGCAATTCTATTATAACCACTTTCAAAAACAGAAATTATGTTAACCTAGGCATGGCGATGCCTGCCTGTCATCCCACACTCTGGGAGGCTGAGGCCGGAGGATCACAAGATCAAGCCCAGCCTGGGCAATTTAGCAGAACTCTGCATCAAAATAAAAAATAAAATAAGGGCTGGGATATAGATCAGTGTGGAGGCCCTGGGTTCAATGCCCAGTGCTGCAAACAAACAAATAAACAAATAAAAAACCTCCAGCTCCAGGCAACGGTATGGATAAATCTCACTGGCATGAAGAGTGCTAGCAAAACACAAAAGAAAGTACGGATCCAGACATGGGTCACTCCACAGTGTGCAACCTCACCCCGCTTTCTAGGAGTGCCTAGGAAGCGCGTAAGGAGCCAGGCTGCTGCTCTCAAGGCAGGGAGGAAAGAGACTCCTCCAAGCTACTGGGCAGGGTTTGTTTAGGGTTAAGAGGTGATCAGGTTTTAAAATGGATTAGTGCCTTTCTCCAGGGAGTGAGTTCCACCTGCCTTCCGGGGACTGGAGATTACAGGCCTGCAGGGCACCTACCCCCCAAAGCTGAGCAGATGCTAGATCCACACTCTTAGGCTGAGTCACTAAGTTGCCCAGGCTGGGCTCCAACTTTGAGCCTCCTACCTCAGCCTTCCACAGTGCTGGGATTCCAGGGCCATGCCGCTAGGTCTGGCAAAACCTGTGTTGTTTCTAAGGCGCCCAGTCTCAGGCCTTCTGTGGCAGCACAGGAAGTGCTCTAAGACAAGGCGGAAGTTGGGGAGGACACACAGATGTTTCTGGGTGCTGGGAGTGTTCCATTTCTTGACTTGGAGAGAATACCAAAATGGATTTTTGTGCACAATGCTCATGTCCCTCAGGGGAGACTTCCTGATGTGGCCACACCCAGATTGGAGGGAGGCTGGGAACAGAGCCCGGCTGCCTGTTCCCTGCCCACCCCCAGCAGGCACTTGAGCAGGTGCCAGCCACAACTTGTCGAATGAATGCTGGTCTGTGAAGCTGGGTGAGTGAATCGACTTCTGAAAGCGTCAGTCCCTTCTCTTGCTTGCCGCAGCGTGTCTTGAAAAAGGGGTCCTTCTGAAACAACTCTGTGGCTGGCGTGGTGGCCCATGCCTGTAACCCCAGCACCAGGGAGGCTGAGGATTGCGGTGAGCTCGAGGCCAGCCTGGGTGTGTAATCAGCCTGGATTATACAGCAAGACCTGTCTAAAAAAACAACTAACTAGAGCAGCTTTACAGTTCTACTGTAGCTACCCCATGCACTCCTTGAATCCTTTTTTTTTTTGTAGTACTAGGGATCAAACCCAGGGTGCCCTATCACTGAGCTACATCTCTAGCTCTTTTTACTTCGAGAGAGGGTCTTGCTAAGTTGCCCAGGCTGCCCTCAAACTTTCGATCCTTCTGCTTCAGCCTCCTGGAGCGCTGGGATTATAGCCATTTGCCACTGGACCTGATGAGAAAAACTTAAATAATGCAGGGTAGGTAGAAAAAATGAAAGCAACAGTCACCCTTAATTCCATTACTGCAAGATCATTGCTGTTAATGTTTTGGCATATTTTTTCCATCTTTTGGGGAGGGGGATTTTTGAGACACGGTCTTGCTAAGTAGTCCAGGCTGGCTTCAAACTCAGTGATCCTCCTGCTTCAGCCTCCCAAGTGCTGGGATTATAGACATGTACCACCACACTGGGCTAGTCTTTTTCTATGTATCTATGAAAATGAGTGGGCTGGGGATTTAGCTCAGTGGTTCTGCTGCCTGCTGCACAAGGACCCGAGTTTGATCCCTGGTACCAAAAAACCCAAAAAAAAAATGAAAGAAAGAAAGAAAGAAAAAGAAAACCATCTGACAATATATAATGGATTGCATACTAGTTTTGAAACTCAAGCCTGCTATAACCTTGATTTCCTTGTCTTTAATCCATATTTGCAACCTCAGTTTAATGCATGCCTACTCCTCCCTGTTGCTGTTGTGTCCTGCTTTCTCTCGTTATTTCTCACGTTGGCGCATTCTGGTTGCTTCCTGGACCCCCCTCCTGTACGTGCTGCTGCCAGGCCATTGTGGGGGGACATGCGAGCCTTTGGCAGTGCTGAGCACTGTTAGCCAGGTCTCGAGGGTCCGGGTCTATAATGCCTGCTGTGGGTGGCCCCTATCCTGGGCCCCGAAGTGGAGCTCTTGCCTGGGGCCTGGCGTTTCTCCTAAGGCCACGAAGGTTGAGGCTGGGGTCAAGCTTGTTCCACAGAGGGCTCAGGGAGCGACTTGGGGCATGTGCCGGACTCCTGCCCTCTGTGCATGGCTCCCCTGCTTAGTAACTAAAAGGCCCTTGGAAGCCACTTCGACTCCCTCGTTCTCCAGCCAGGACCTGACGTCCTGAAAGCTCATGGGTTCTATACACATTTTTGATTCTAAAGATGTTGAAGATAATGTATAGAGCCAGGTGTGGTGGTGCACACCTGTGATCTCAGCACCCTAGGAGGTTGAGGCAGGAAGATAAGAAGTTCAACCCCAGCCCAGGCAATTTAGTAACTTAGTCTCAAAATTAAAAATAAGGGGCTGAGGATGTAGCTCAGTGTGAAGGCCCTTCAGTTCAGTCCCCAGTGCCCCCGCATACAAACAACAGACATCTGTGAGGCATCTCTCTTGGCGCCTGGTACACAGAAGTGTTCATTACTTATATTGTTGTCATTTCTGCCTGCCCCTGTCCAGAAAGGATTTGGGGCAGTCTGTGAAAGACAAGTTTCTCCAGGTCTTGGGCTGTGTGAGGGACCATTTCCTCCCTGAAGGGCTCTGTCTCGGGCAGTGTGGACGGGTAGTGTGGACAGCCCTTGTGGGAGTGCAGGGCACGGCCTGCGGTCTCATTGGGTTACTGCAGATGGCGCTGCACAAGGCTTCCGGGAGCAGGGCAGATGGGTCCTGAGCATGTGCCCAGTGCTTTCAATGTCTCCTCATCTCGTTCTTCCAGAAAGACCAGAGTGGGGGATTTTTGTGTGTGTGTTTTTTGTACTGGGGATTGAACCCAGGGCCCTTGCACTAAGCTACATCCTTGGCTGGGCGGCTTTCTTTCTTTATCATTTTTTTTTTTTTTGTACTGGGGATCAAACTCAGAACCTTTTGCTTGGGAGGCAGGCAGGGGCACCACTGAGCTAAATCCCCAGCCCTCTTTATTGTTTTTTTTTTTTTTTTTTTGTACCAGGGATGGAACTCAGAACCTTTTGCTTGGGAGGCAGGCAGGGGCACCACTGAGCTAAATCCCCAGCCCTCTTTATTGTTTTTTGTTTTTTTTTTTTGTACCAGGGATGGAACTCAGGTCCTTGTGCTTGCATAGCAGGCGGCGAAACCACTGAGCTAAATCCCCAGCCCTCTTTATCGTTTTTTTGAGACAAGGTCTCCCTATGTAGTTCAGGCTGACCTTGAACTCACTGTGTAGCTCAGGCTGGCCTCAAACTCATGGTGATCCTCTTGCCTCAGCCTTCTGAGTGCTGGGATTACAGATGTGTGCCACCGCGCCTGGATCTTTTTTATTTTTTAATGTAACTGGATCTTATGGAATGAAACCACTCCCACCAAGACTTCCGTGCCCACTTGGTCACCAGGGTAAAGGACAGATGCTCTCTGCCACGCTGAGTGGCCCAAGTTCAGGTGTTTGCAAGTCTGTGAACCTCACAAGGTGTTCAAGCCGCCATGAGCACCTCTGGGAAACACACGAGGCCCTTGGTGAGCACCTCTCACACAGGAACCAAAACAGGGAGTGGAGCAGGGCCTTGAGCCCGGGGACCCTGGGTGATGACACTTTCTCCGGCAGAAACCCACAGTACTTGAGAGGAGCTGCCTGCCTCTGCTCTTACCTGAGCCCTTTTGTAGCTCAAGTCTTCCCAGTCTCCACATCAGGCATGGCCCACCCCATAAACCGGAGATTTTCTGAACCTGGGGAACACTGACCTGCACCCCAGGCCTTCTTATTTATTTTGTTCTCTTGAGGTAGGGACTTGCTAAATTGCTAAAATTCCCAGGCTGGGCTTGCACTTGTGATTTTCCTGCCTCAGCCTTCAGAGTAGCTGGGATTAGAGGTGTGCACCACCATGCCTGGTTACAAAAAAGTTTTTTTGTTATTATTATTGTGAAATATACACATTGCAAACTTTGCCATCTTGACTGTGTTTTCAGTGTGTAGCTTGGGGGCATTAAACATGCCCACGCTGCTGTGCAGCTGTCACCACCGCCCACATTTCAGAACTTCCCCTCTCCCCAAGGGAAGCTCTGCCCCACTGAACACCAACTCCCCATGCCCCTTCCCAGCCCCTGGCAACCACTTCCTGTCCCTATGGTTCTGACACCTCGCCGGACCTGGTGTGAGTGGAGTCTGGTCTTTGTGCCTGGCTTAGGTCACTGACCATCATGTCCTCCAGGTTCATCCCTGAGGCAGGCGACAACATCCTGCCCTCTACAAACTGATCCATGCCCCATCCACAGACACGCAGCTGCCTCTTGTTTGGAGGACAGAGGACAGAGATGTGGTGAAGCACTTCCGGGGCCTGCCCCGCTCAGTCAGGAAGTGGATGTTAGGATCACAAGTCAGGCTGTGTCACTGGACCGTGGATGCCCAGGGGAAGGGGTGCCCCAGAGTTCTTGAACGAGTGAATCCATGTCAGTTCGTGTCGCATGGGTCGATATTCTCGGAGTTCAAAGAAGCTGCTCATAACACTTCTGGCTGAATGCGTGGGCTTTCCATATGCCACTCATCTTCAGCTCTCTGTGGACGCTGCTGTCCTAACCACCCAGAGTCAGCATGGACCCGTGGGTTCAGGGCTGTGTCCCACAGGCTGTACACCCTGGTTCCCCATGCTCCATCCCATCTGGCTACAGAGCAGGGTGCCCCCAGCAGGGGTGCACTGTCCTGGTCTGGACTGCTTCTTGTAAAGGATACTATGGAGGCATGGAAGTGCAGGAGGCGTGTCTCCGTGCTCAGGAGCTGTCATCCCTGTGAGCCAGAGTTGCCTCCCTGGAAGCTGTCAGCGTCCTTGTAAAAGGGGCCCAGCTGAGTAAATCATGGGCCATGGAGACTGGGCTCCCGGGACCCCCTCCCTTCTCCTCTGAGGTCTGGAGGGGGCTGATCACATGGCTGTGGGACACCTCACTGGTGTCCCATCCTGCACCTGAGCAGGAGTCACAAAGAGTCACCTCACTGGCAAGCTGGGTGTGGTGGCGCACACCTGTAATCCCAGCACTCTGGGAGGCTGAGGCAGGAGGATCCCAAGTTCAAGTCCATCCTGGGCAACTTAGCTACCTATTGAGACCCTATCTCAAAATAAAAAATATAAAAGGCTCAGTGTGAAGGCCCTGGGTTCAAGACTCAGTCCACACACACACACACACACACACACACACACACACACAAAACAAAAAAACCCAGAGTCACTTCACTGGCATGAACTCAGATGTGGGTGAAAGAGGCTTTCTATGGCTACAAAGATGCACTTCCCACTCTGACTCAGGAAATCCTAAGAGTTTAGAAGCTTTTATGGCAAGAATCAGTGTTGAAAACCACATAGATATTTCTTTTTCTATCCCAATATCACAGAAGCCATGTAGTGCCTGTTAGAAATACAGAATCTTGGGCAGTGGCGCACACCTGTAATACCAGCTACCTGGAAGGCTGAGGCTGGAGGATCACAAGTTAGTGGCCAGACTGGGCAATGCCGTGAGACCTTGTGTCAAAATAAAAATGAAAAGGGCTAGGCATGTACTTCAGCTTGAGGCCCTGAGTTCAATGCCCAGCACTGAAAAAACAAAAGCAACCAAACAAACAAACAAAAACTCTTGGGCTCTGCCCCAGACCTATGGGATCAGTTGACTCAGACCTGCATATTTATAAGCTCCTTTGGTGACTTGTGCAGATGAGATGTGCTGCTCTAAAGGACAGACTTGGAAACAGAGTGCCTCTTGTTTCAGGGTGGTTCACCACAAGCATCTCCCCAATAGGATTACCAGGTAAACAGCACACCTGCTGTCATCCTGTCCTGTGCCCATGGCAGACATCACTAATTGATCATGGAATTGTCAACCATCCTTCCCACTGAGAACAGGAGTGTAGAATTTTATTTTCTTTCTTTCTTTTTTTTTTTTTTTGGCACATGGTCTTGCTATGTAATCCAGGCTGGTCTTGAACTCACAATGGAGCCCAGGCTGGCCTCAAATTCATGGAAATCTTCCAGCCTCAGCCTCCCCAGTGCTGGGATTATAGGTGTTTACCACCATGCTCAGCCTCGAAGTGTGGAATTTTCAATCTGACATTTCCAGTAGAGTGAAAAATGAGTGAATAACACAGTGAGGGGAGTGAAATAAGAAATGTGGATCCAGGTTTGAGTAGACAAATTCGTCATTTCCCAGACTGCCACTAGCTTTGTTCTTAGTAACTGCATCACAGTAATGCCATCGACCACTCATTAAATGTCTGGTGTATTCTGGATTCTGGTCCAGTTTAGTCCCTGCCAGGGGAGGATAAATGCCATCCTTGTCTTGCACATGAGGCTCTGAGGCCCAGAGGGAGGTGAGTGGGTGGTAAGAGAGGCACAGCCCGCTACCCTGAGAGCTGTCTTTCTGGCCTGGGATCTGCCAGGTTCCCCCAGGGCACCCAGTGCTTCTCTGGCCACCCTGTCCTAGACCTGTTCTCAGCACAGCTTCCACAGCTCCCAGGCTGGGTTCCAACTTCCTCAGCCCTCGGACTCTGTCCTGGGGGGGGGGTCATCTCATCCACCAGACAAGTGGGCGCATCAGAGGGTAAGCGGGCGACGGCGGGCCTGAGTTCTGGGGACTCTGTGGCCCTGACGTTAATAATTATAGCCTGAATGGGGATGGGTGCGACTCTCTGAGATTATGTTTGACCACAGTGAGGACAACCAAGAAAGCAGTTCCCTCCCTCACCCTGGATGCGCGGAGCACCGCATGTTGAATCTCTGGTCCTGTTGATGGTTGCCTAGTGTCCCTGATGTGTCAGGCTGTTTCCTCAGTGCTGGCGACACAGCGCCAACCAAGAAAACCCCCTGCCCTCCTGCAACTCACATTAGTGAGCATGGGAGACAGACTCCCGGGAGACCTTGTGAGCACTTCCAGTAGGAGTGTGGCTGAGGGAGGGGGAAGGGGTCTCAGTGCCTCCGAAGGATTGTTTGAGTATGACTGAGTAAATGCATGGGAAGTGTTATTCAGCAGGCGCCAACTAAATAGTGGGCTGCTGTTGTTGCTGCTGCTCTTGCTGCGCAGTGCTGGGCCAATTGCTGCGGTGCCTTTGCTGGGGAGCTGTCCCTTCAGCACCAGCAGGTCGCCACTTATTGCTCAGGCTGGTCTGGAACACCTGGACTCAAGCAATCTCCTGCCTCAGCCTCCCAGGTGGCTGGGACCTATCCATGTGTGCCACCACGCCCAGACTCTGGAAGAGTCTGACTAAGCTACGTACAGGAAGAAACTGGAGACCCTGCTGAGCTAGCAGATTTGCCTGGGGTCAGGCCACCCTTCTGCCCGCACCAAGTGCCAGGCTGGCCTGTCACCTCGAGCCCTCGAAAGTGGGCAGGGGGTGGTGCTGCAGGTCCCATGTCTTTCGTCTCTTTCTCTCCAAGCCCAAGTGCAAGGTACGTGGAGCAGGGTGGGCTGGGCCGGGGGCTGTTCACACCCGAGCCCCAAGGGCCTGTGCTGGCCATGGCAGACGTGTCCACCGACCCCAGCTGGGCTCATGGATTCATTCATGGAAGGGCCAGGATGTAGCTCAGTGGTTCTGGCCCCTGCCTCACAAGCACAAGGTCCCTAGTTCGATCCCTGGTACCAAAAAAAAAAAAAAAAATGCCTCTGGAGAACAGGGGCTGTGGGCACAAAAATGAATTTGTTGCAGTTTGCTTCCTCTCTCCAGAAGCTAATGTCTAAGGGAGGACATGTGTCCTAATGACACCGAGTGAGCAAATGCCACGCTGACACAGAGCATGTGTGTGGACATGTGTGTGCCATTCCTGTCCTGAGTGAGGAGAGGCCTGAGCAGGAATGTCACACTCTTGGGTAGAAATGGCAAAAGCTCCATTTCAAATTGTCTTGAACCAGGGGGAGAGGAAGAGAGAATGAGAGAGAGAAAGAAGGAAAGAAGGAAAGAAGGGAGGGAATGGAGGAAAGGGAAGGAGCGCAGTGGGAGGGAAGAAAGGAGAGTGAGGTAGAGAAAGAAGCGAGAAGGAAGAGGAAGAGGAAGAGAAGCAGGAGGAAGAGGAGAAGGAAGAAACAACAACAACCAAAGTTGGTGCCCAGACCTGAAAAGGCTGGAAGCTCTGGAATCAGGTACAGCTGGATACAGGAACTCCAGGAGGACCAGAGGAGCTGTTGCTTGCCGTCTCTGGGCTCTGCTTTCTCTGGTGGCTCTGGTCTCTGCACCACTCACAGCCTTGGGTCCCCCCAGTCCTGGACTGGAGTCTCCTTGCCCTTTTGGCAGTGCTTAAACTTATCACTGGGTCCAAGGATGGACCGTCCCTGGTTCCCGTCACAATCAGGCATGGCTGGGGGTTGAGTGGGGAGGGGCAACCAGAAAGAAGGAAAGCAACAGCATTATGAGAACTAGATGGGACAGATGCCAGACAGCCAATCCTGCAGGCATCACCCAGTGCGGTGGGGGCACAAGGAGGCTGCAGCTGCGGCTGGATCCTTCTGAGCCGGTGGGGCTCTCCAGGCACCTATCAGATGCCCACGCACTGCTGCAGCCTCCTGGAGGGGGCGTGTGGGGCCCACTCATCAAAGTGAGACCCTATCTCAAAAAATAAAAAAAGTCCCAAGCCCAAGGTCCTGAGTTCGATCTCTGGTACTGCAAATAAATAAATAAATAAATAAAAATAAAAATAAGAAGGGCTGGGATGTAGCTTCGTGAGAAGGTCCTGGGTTTGATTTCCAGTACTGTAAAAAAACCCCAACCCAGCACAACAAACAAACAGCAAACAAAATAAGCCTCAGGGAGTTTGGCCTTAAAAGGGAAGGAGGCTTTGACACAGGCCAGAACAGAGAGGAACTGTAACAGGACTTGCAGTGAAATATGCCAGTCAAAAGGACACATCCGCATGGCTCCACTTCTCTGAGACCCTGGAGACAGAGGTGGTGGTGGGAGATGACACTGGGGTGGCACCGGGAGCGGGGCAGGAAGGGAAGAGATTCCATCTGGGAAACGCTGGCCAGAGCGTGGATGTGTTAACACACCCCACACTCTAACATGGGTAAGATGGTGCATTTTACCAGAATTAAAAATCGTATGGAACCAAGCTGACAGTGCTAACACATGCAGGTGATTTACCAAATGCAAGAAGAAATAGGGAAAAAAAAAAAAGAATGTTAGCGTTGATGTAATGTCATTATTGAATGGTCTTAGCTTGTCTGGGCTGCTATGACAAAATACCATACCCTGGGTGGCTTATAAACAACAGAAATTTATTTCTTAAAGTTCTGGAGGCTGAAAGTCTGAGATCAGGGTCCCAGCACAGTGAGATTCTCTCCAGGGTGCAGATGGCCGACTTCTTATACCCTCATATGGCAGGAATGGCCAGAGAGCGCTTAGGCTGTGTGTGTGTGTGTGTGTGTGTGTGTGTGTGTGTGTGTGTGATTGCAGGTTGAACCCAGTGCCTTTGCTACATCCCAGGCTTTAAACATTTTTTTTTTTTAAATTTTGAGACAGGGTCTTGCAAAATTCCTGAACTGCCCAGGCTGGACTCTAATTTGTAACCCTCCTGCCTCAGCCCCCCAGGGTGCTGGAATTGTAGGTGAGTGCCACCACACCCTTTTTATAACTCCTACTGGTACTGAGCACTCGAAATGCAGCTAGTGTGACTCAGGAACTGAACTGTAAATCTAATTAATTAATTAATTAATTCCTTTTGAGCAAGCTCTCCTTTTGTGGCCTGGTCTGAAATTCATAAGCTCAAGTCATTCTCCTACCTCATCTTCCCAAGTAGCTGGGACTGCAGGCAGGCTTTAATTGACTTTTAATGAATTTATATTTAATTAGCCACACGTGCTTGGTGGCACCCATGCCAGCACAGCTATATTAAGGGGCTCAATTTAGGTACAGGATTGATTGGCATTTCTGGCAAGAGAAGCAAGAAAGAACATGAACCATGTAACACTTTGCACCAGGAGGCACCAGACATCTGGTCGACCTGCTTCCCGCCCTGCTTCTGGTGATGCTGCATTGATCCTGGGGCCTGTGAGATAATCCTGGGGCGGTGCTGACTCCCTTGGAGCACCCGTTGCTTGGCAACCTCCCATCCAGTGGTCTCGGCGGCCATCGGTTATCACTGTCTGAATCAATCATTTCACTCGGGGTTGGGTTTTGTGATTTTTTTTTAAAAAAAGATCCTCTCTTAATAAAGGAGACCCTGGCCCCCAGTCTTCCAAAGTGGTTGGATCTGAGATAAAGCCAGGATCTCGTTTCTTTTGAAAAAAGCCTTCAGAGGGAACAAATCGATCAGTCTGTGTTTGGAGCACGGATGGTATTTCGGCTGTGTGAAGGCCCTGGGACTCTGTGCAGTGTGTGTGTGTGTGTGTGTGTGTGTGTGTGTGTGTGTTTGCATGCACGCGCATTTCTCCCCAGCCCTGTGGGTCTCTGAGGGAATCTAATCCTCAGAGCAGGTGCTGCCCGGGTCAGAAACCAAGGCCCAAGCCCTGCTCATAGGAAATATTCTTAAAAAAATTTTTTTGTGTGTGGTACTGAGGATTGAACCCAGGGCCATCACACTGAGCTGCATTCTGAGCCCTTTTTCATTTTTCATTTTGAGACAGGGCCTTGCTGAGTGCCGAAGTTGCCTATTCTGTTCTCCAACTTGGGATCCTCCTGTCCTCAGGCCCAGTGGGCAGTGTTCCCCAGGTCTCCGCCCTTGGCCACAGCTTTGTGTGGTGGGTGGGAGGCATGAAGGCAGAGCAGCTGGGCCTTGGTCTCCTCCGTGAAAGGGAAGGGATGAGTTGGGGGCAGGACATTCGGCCTGGGGTCCCGGCTAAGGGGTTACCCTGGCTGGCACAGAGACAGAGACAGGCCAGAAAAGAAGGGAATTAGAAACGGCCTCCTCCGCTCACAGATGTCTCTCTAAAGTGTGCTGGGCTTGCTTTTGGCCTAGGACTCATCAATCCTAAGTAACACCAGGGCACTGGGGATGTGGCTCAGTAGTGCACGTGCTGATCTGGGACTCTGATTGGCTGTTGCTGATGTCATAGGACTAGCCGGGCAGTGATTGGCAGATGAGAACCCCGGGTTCGGGTGGGAGAGACTCACTGGCTAGAGTGGGTGTCTGTGAGTCCAGCTGCTGGGGAAGACCTCCACTCACAGAGCATCTTGGGGGTGGCAGGGCTGAGGGTTGGGTCATCAGTGCCACAGGTCTGGGGCTGTGCACATGGATACCATCCTTGCTGCCAGGCCTGTGCCCTCTGCTACCTAGCAAGCCAGAGTCCCTCGGACCTGGCACATGGTCCCCCCTGCCCCTTCCACCCCAGGCTCAATTTCCCTTCCTGTTCTCAGTGCTGGGCCCAGGGATTTTGATCCCAGGGCCGTTCCCAGATGGCATCAGCCCAATGACTCTTTCCCAAAGGCTGAGCCAAGCCAGGCAGCCTCACGAAGCAGCCTGCATTCAGGCATGGATACAAAGCACAGCCGCACGGGGGATGGACAGTGGCTTCCTGGGGGCATTTGGCCCGGGCCGGCCTTGGCCTTGGAGGGACAGACACACAGATCCCCCTTTGTCTGCAGCCCGGGCAGACCTCTTTAGTCCCTTGTCCAA